TCTTTTCCAACCTAAACAATTCTATGATTCTATGAAAAAGCTGTTGACCAGATACCTTTAAAGGCATAGACACTCTCTTTCCACACAGCCTGGCAGGTTTTATTTAGACATAGAAAATACCCCTGAAACAGATCCTTGCTTTAACAGAGGGGCCTGAAGGTACAGTCATTGAAGTAGAGAATATTCTTCTAGACGTTAGTGGGAGTTTTCGGTGTCTTGGAGAGTTTCACAGGCCTTGGGAAGAAAGCCATAGATTCCCATGAACTGTATGAAATTTGCAATTTAAATTAAGGTTTTCATAAGGTTTTCAGCAGTGTCACTGTACCACCGTGAGCCCTTTCATAGAGAGGCACAAGAAAAAAAACCTACTGTCCTTCTCCATCACTGTATGCATGCTGTGCTATATTTTTTTTCAGTTGTGATATTCATTGATATACTCTAAACACTCTCAATATTTATATTTTTCAGGTCAAAAGGTGTGCTATGGTGACCTCAAGCATTCTTGTTACAAGTTAGCTTATTTCCAGGACTTGTCTAGACGTGTGGGCTTTCAGGAGGCCCGCCAAGCTTGTGAAATTGATGGTGGGGCTTTACTGAGCCTGGAAAGTGAAGCTGAACAGCAATTAATAGAAAACATGTTGCAAAACCTCACTAAGTCAGGCTCCGGGATTTCTGATGGTGATTTCTGGATTGGGTTGTGGAGAAGTGGTGATGGACTAGCCACCTCAGGTGCTTGCCCTGACCTCTACCAGTGGGCTGATGGAAGTATTTCACCATTCAGGTAAGTCGGTAAAACTGCTTATTGAGAAGGTTTCATGGAAAGAAATGGAGAGTGAAATGCCTGGCAAGTCTTCTAGAAAGATGCTTGAAGCCTTGCTGCCCCATGAAGTTAGTAGCATCCCTCCTTAGCTTCTCCAGATAAAGGGGAATTGGCAACCAGGGTTTTGAATTTGAAGCTGTAAAAGGATGGCATAGCGTGGCTTCAGCCTACAATTTTCCTTGCTCCCATCTCATGAGTTTGCCTCTACATGGCTTTTGGAGGTTTTCTGCCCCACATAGAGGATTTGGGATGTGGTCTGAAAGCCGGTAGACAAATTCTGCAAGACTCTGGCTGCCTTGAATTAGGGAGCCAGCCACCAAGTAAATTAATGCATGTTACTTAGTGTAAATTGTTCTGTTTCTACCCTGTCTTTTGAAAAGCCTTTAATTTCCTGATTAAGCAAAAGGCCAGAGTAGCAGCAGCTCACAGGACTCAGGACAATGGGACAGGTAGGAGTCAGATAGGAAGGAAAACAGGTAGCAGAGCAGCAGGGTGTTATTTCTGCAGAGGTGCTTTGGTCAGAATTTTTTTTAAGATCCACAGAGGTGGAGCCCAGGCCCTAAACTCCTTTCACAGAGGAGTTGTAGGAAATGCAGCATATCTTTGAAGAGGGTGGGGCCATTGGGGTTGACATGTTTTCATTGATGTAAACTCCTTTCCTTGGCATCCTGATGAACCTTACCTTCAAAATCTGAAAGTTTGTCTTTATGTGTACCACTAGAAATTGGTATACAGATGAGCCTTCCTGTGGAAGTGAAGCCTGTGTTGTGATGTATCATCAGCCAACTGCAAACCCTGGTCTGGGAGGGCCATACCTTTATCAATGGAATGATGATAGATGCAACATGAAGCACAATTTTATCTGCAAGTACGGCCCAGGTAGGTGAAATTAAAGTTATATTTTGCAGGTGGGACACTTTCTTAGAAAAACAATTGCCTTTTGTTTTGTGAAGGAATCTGCGAATGTCTTGTGGCCTGTGCTACTAATTCCTTTGGTGTGTGAGTGGCTGAGCTGACATTAACAGAGGGTGTAGTATATCAAATCTAGTGGTAATTTAAGTAAACCTATCTGTATCCAATAAGAACATTTTCAATGTTAGCTTCACTGTCATGCATTCCCAGGTTTACTTTGATTTAACTCATTCACTAGGTATTTTATTCTCCACAAAGTGTTTTAAGTGGCCATTTACTACTTCCTTTGCTTGTTATCAAGTGGGATGACCAAGACATGTCTTGGTCCTACTGTAAAAAAATTACAATGTCCTCACATTTTCAGACCTCTGACATTTTATACCAACTTATGTGTGATGGCTGTTTCAAAAAGTTTTGACTTACTGCAAGAAAATAGGAGTCCAGAACAGCAGGAAGAAAATTCTGCATTTGAACATGTAGATTTATAGATATGAAAAGCAGATGCATGCTAGTTCAGATAGTGACAGAAAAAGCCAGATCTTAAGCAATTTGGCTGTACTTCCAGACATGACATAGGTTCTGTATATGTCAGTAGAGGAAACATGAACTGTAAACTAGAACTCTGTGCAAACAGAAAAAGGACGTGAAAAGTAAACTTTCAAGTAGAGTCTGTAACAGTCTCTACTTTTGATGGCACTTACAGCAAATGAAAAGATGTTTTTCCGCAGGATCATGCAAATATTTTCAAATAATTTATGGTGTATCTGCTTTTCAAAAACTAAGCTGGAAGTCAGAATGCATATAAAATCCCACTTTTAGCAGCTATTTGACCTACCTAATTCTGCAGTTTCCTACCTGTTTTCTCTATGCTCATGATCTAGCAATAATCACACTCTTTGTAGAGATCCATCTGTCTGTAGAGATCCATCTGTCTGTAGAGATCCAGGCCATTTTCCTCCTCCAGTTTTGGTGGATTGATAGCTTTCTCACTGTCTAGTATCTTAATAGAGATATTATTGGCAATTAGTATTGCAAGCAAATATTAAATACTTGGAAAGCTTGATATACCCACACATTTTACCCCCAACCCCCAAATCTGTTCCTGCTTCTAAAATTATTAGTGACTATCACTGTCTTATGGTGATCAGTTATCATCTTGGCCACACAGGCTGTTCAAGGAACTGTGATGTATACAATTTTATTACTTTTACACATAATCACAATTATTTTGATGTAAGAGAACACAATAAAAATGTTTTAAGTTGTTAAAATAACATCATTTTTATGTCAGAAAATGCAGGTTTGATTAAGAGGACTTAGTTTCAAGTATATTTCATATCTTTAAAACCAAACAAATTTAAGTGAAATAATTATTCTGTAATAGTGAACTACTTACCATGCTAGTTGTGATGTGATAATTATTTTTTCCTATTGCTTTCACCATCTGAAAAATGCCGAGTATTTTGGACTGGCAGAAAATGAAGTGATAACAGTAACAATGAAAACAAATTTATATTTCTTTCACTATGTAGAAATAGATTACTAGTATATAATGAGGCATATAATAAAGCAAACAATATATAGGTAGATTATTATTAGGACTGACGTTGTTATTCAGCTAAATACAGTACTGCTGAATTGCAGCTATTTACTTTTCAAGCTGTTGGAATTGTGCTCTTTAGGAAAAGAAGCTATTCTCCAGAAATGTATTTTTCTATCACATGGAGAAGAAGAGTAGATGCATAAATGTATATAAATAGGTATATGACATTTCTTTCACTGCCTGAAGAAAGTACCACAGTGTTTGTAAGAAATTACATTTGCTATCTAAAAGCTAGTGAGACTTACAAATGACCTTTTTTTCCCCCCAAATCACTGCAATAGCTTCAACGTTAGCCATTTGCAATACAAAATACATCCCTTTTACCAAGAGTATTGAAGTGCCACATGCGTATTGAATTTCACTTTGTTATCTGAGCGTGTTGTTTTTCACAACTTTCCTGTCTGTTTTGAGTATATGGTGTATGATACCAGTCATAGTCCAAAATGCAGAGGTTGTAGGTGACCATGATGAAGTTGCATGTAATTGTATCTGCAGCAAGTTCAGGGCAGTGCTTATTAGGCAGTCTTACTCAAGCAGCAACTACATTTCTGGTAGTCACTTCCATTTTTCGAAGTCTTTTCTATAGTATCTCCCTTGAGAGCATTTACTGTTGCCATGTTCAGTCTGGCTTTAGATCATATTGATCATTCAGCGATCTTAAATTTAATTATAGGTTGGTAATTGCAACCACATTTAGTTCCTGTCCAGCTCCTGTAGGTTTGATTATGCAATCAGATTAAAATCTTATCTCCTCTTCTGCTGTCTAGAGTCAGCAACTCAGTTCTTTGTGGTATTTTGATATCTTTCTTTATATATGGCCAAACACAGCCAGTTTTTACCAGACTAGATGAAATAATTGCCTTTGTACTAGTAGGCTTTATTCCTCCTTCGATTTCTCCCAATATTTTGTGTTTATCAGGTTACTTGGAACTGCAGGCTAATAGCACTATATTATTAATATAATCTTATGATAAAGGCATGGTATTCAAACACTCATGCAGATTCCACTGCTATGCCCATCCTTTCAATATGAAGTAATTATTGCTGTAATCTTTGTAAATCTTAGTTGTAACAATAGCCATAAGTAAACTTGCAAGCCTCTGCAATACAGCTCAAAGCCATGAGGTGGTTCTCCAGTTTCTGATGCATTACAAGAAATGTGATTCTCTCATTCCTTTTGTGGTAACTTCACTTCCTTATGTGATGTGTTAGTATCCACTGCCCATGATTTGTATTTTAGGGCTGCCTGTTGCAAAACCAAACTATATGAAGCTGACATCTAATCTCACAAATTTGTGCTGCTTTGTTTTGCTTCATAGCCAACATTCTGTAAGCATTATTTTGAAAATGTGAATAGGATTTAAGTATTAATCAATAACACTTCCTCTCATATTGTTTTAGGATCCTTTGCACAAATGAAACTTTGAATATGTTAGGAGTTTTATTCGGCACAAGGAATTAAAGGATTCAGTGATTTAGCCAGTAGCCTAGCAGAGGCCACCAAGAATTGGAACTAGAATAAACTATAGCCCTTTTCTAATAATCAAAAATGTACAAACTAGAAGTGATTCGATACTAGTTTGCAAATAGTATTTGGTAAGAATATTAAATGCTGAAGAATTAAGTGATTATTTTTTTGGAGAAGGTATCCATTTCTGTGATACTGCATGCAAAATAATGAAAACATCTGTTTTATTACACACACTTTTCATTCTCCAACAATTTATTTCAAATATTGATTTAACAGATAATGTCTTAGAAAAAGAATTAGGAGACAGAGCGGAGCCAGATTACGGTAAGAAATTTCGAAACATTAAATTGAGTTGCAATGGTAAATACATAATTATAAGGACAGCTTACAGGAACCTCCAGAATTACTCAAGTTTAACAGCTATGGTTTAGAACTGGAACATAGGAAAAATGAATCCTTTAGAGAGCAATAACTACAAATATATGGCTATTGTTCAGAATAGCACTGCTCATAATTCTTGTTCCAGATGTAATCCTAATTTTGCAATAAAATCCTGCTTACTTGTTTATATCCAGCAGTTTAATCAATCCTGAAAATGTTCATTTTTCCAATATAAATTAAGATGTAATTACTATTAATTTATTTAACAACATAACAGCCATATTTTCTACTCACTGTTTTCTTAAAATGTCTGATATCCTTTTCAGGTGTTTTTCCAACGGCGCCAGCAGGAAATTCTTATGACACGAGCAAACCAGAAGATCAGTATCATGTTATTGCTACTGAAACAGGTAATGTGTTCATATGAATTGAGTGTTCTGGTAAAAATATTAACAGTGGACTCAGTTAAATTAATCTTTAACAATTTCCATTATTGTCAATGGGAGGAAGGAGTCTGTTTCCCCAGGAAGTGCCCTGTAAAAGTATACTTTTGAGTAACATTTCAGAAGTTCTGGTCAGTCCTCTTCATAACTGTGGAAACAAACTATTTCCATGTCTTCCCAAACTTTGATCCAAATCTGCAGTTTAGCAGTCCTTGAAATCTGCACCGTTGTCTCTGACCGTGGTGAGCCTCTGTCAAGACGCAACATGTCACTGGTGTTCACCCAGCTTTGGAGCGTCGCCTTCTAGGGCTGTGGTCCCCCATGCCTTGCCTCTCTCTGTCTCCTCCCCACCTCTTTCTCAACCTGTGTAACAAACAGACAGTGTATACATTATTTTTTATATCTGATACCTGGGGCTCACAAAAAAGGCACAAATGAATCTTTCCTAACAGATAGGGCATGAGGTTTTCAGTTATCTGCAGAATAAGCACTGCGCCATAGCTTCTCCAAGTACCCTGTGTTTTAAGGAATACCATGTGCTAAGAGGAGTGGAGTGCTTTGCTGAGATTTCTAGCAGAGATGGCACTTGATATTTTGAAAATGGATACCTACTGCCTTGGAACTTGCTGCAATGCTCCCAGGTCCTTCATTTAGCAATTTATGTCCTGAATGGAGTCCTGTGGTTCATGAAGAGTTGTAACATGGCCTTAATTCAAGGAATTGAACATCTCTGAGGAGCAACTCAGGATTTTACAGAATTACAGCATGGGATTATGGAAAGCTGGCGCTCCCTTTCCACACTTGTTGGCTGGATTTGAGCCATTTTCCTAACTGATGTTCCCATTGTAACTCCAGAGGAATGGATATACTGATGAACTGTATTTTGAAATCGACAATACTATTTTTACAAACTATGCAAAGACTCTCTCTCTGAAACTCATAAATAAACCCAACCTGAACATTCACATTTATTCTTGCTAGTGAAAATATGTTCAAAAGAGGACAGTGGGTAAGAAGGTCTCCACAATTTGTACGTTAAATGTATACTGTTATAAAACGTGGGCATATAGTTACTGAAAAACAGTCAGACCCTTTCTGGAAGTTGTAGACCCCATCCTTTATTCTAGGCAGATAGTAAGAGTGCCAGCTTGTATCACTTCCCACTCCTTTTGCCCAGGGACCCGGAGGGGAGCATCTTTAACTCTCTCTTCATTAGTCAAGGACAATATACATTTGTCTTTTAAGCGGAATGGGGAGACAAGAGCAGGCTTTCTTCCTTTTGTGGTCCTGCATGGGTGGGAATCCTAGATGTAAGGGCCACTGAGTAGACAGGTTATATGGACTGTAAAAATAATAGGCTGTGAAACATACTCTCTTCAAATATTTGAATTTTCAGTTCTAAAATTGGAAATCTTGCATTGATGTGCATAGGAAATAACAGAATTTAGGTTCTTAAGATATGTTTTGCACATTGCTGGAGAAGTACTATTTTATTCTTGATATTGTTCAGTCATCTTTTTGGAGCTCTTCCTATAGAAGGAAAGTAGAAATGTTCTTTTGTGTAATTTAATGTATTCCTGATATTTTATTCCAAATTTTTACTCACACAGTTAAGAGTATTTCAACATGGGAGCCATTAATGAGAACTTTTTGTCTTGTAGGTATAATTCCAAATCTAATTTATGTTGTAATACCCACTATACCACTACTGCTGTTGATACTGGTGGCTTTTGGGACTTGCTGTTTCCAGATGCTTCATAAAAGGTAAAATATACTAATCCAAAATGGTCTTATAATGCAGAATTCATATTTCCATTGGCAAGCTATTCATACTGAAAGACTGCTTCCATCTGTCCCCAAATATGCAAATAAGCATCTTTTCATCTATTAAAATCCAAGTAGTTTACAGCTGAACATTCACCATCAGGCTTTTCCACAGTGAAGTAGTTCCAGGTCTCTCAAAATATTTTGCCATGAGGACTTCACCGGTTTCTGAAGAAGATATCTTTGCTGACCATTTGATGTGCTGAGCTACTGTTAGCACTTTTACTTCAGCTATTCTGTCATGATTACCACCTATACAGAATCTGGGCTTTGGGGAATAATAGTGGGATCCTCACTGATACAGGGTGAACTCAAGGACTCCCTCAATTTCTGACCAAAAGTGCAGTTTTTTCCAAGGATAAAGCTAAGGGGCCAGCAGCTGTTTAATGCTGTTTCACTGCACATCCCATACGAGCAACAGATGGGCCACTGGAGCAGACAAATTGAAAACAAAAAGCAAAAACATATTTTGAGCCACACGCCAGTGCAACTCCTTTGTACATCATGTATCCGTCAAAGAAGATGCATATAGTAAATCGCTATGTGTGCATAGATGTAGTATCAAACAGATGTATTATTATGTAAATAGGAAACACTTCATCCTATAAAACAGGTTATGTTTTGATCCATGCTTTAAAATTATTTGGACTTTCTATCTTTCTCAAAATATGATATACCAACTTATGACAACATATAATATTTTTTTTCTGAACTAATCTTTCTGAGACTTTCAAGGATACTTTTCATTCTGCAGGTTTTTTTTCAGGAAGCGTTCTCAAGTAAATGTAATCCAGAAAAGTTTACACTGAAATACGTTTTATGGATAAACAGTATTTTGGTAAAATAACAGGAGTAATAAACAGATTCACAAGCTGTTATCCCTCTTGAAGAGCACGAATGCTAGTAAGGAGTATCACGTCACTGTTTTAGAAAATTAGAAAAAAAAAAGTCCTCCTTACTTTTAGTCTTTTTTTTATTTTTTCTTTGTGGTTTTTATTTAGCATTTTCTGCAAACAGCTGAAATACCTTATTTCAAGTGAGAAAACACTCCAAATGTCAAGTCTGCTTATATCTCTATGAGTGAGTGTACACTGATGTTCGCAGCACTCCTTAGTGATGTGTCTCATTGAAACAAGAGAACAGTAAAGAAAAGAAAAGATATATTATAAGGTCTGCATCATAAATTAGATTGTGTCTTTAAGTTACACACTTTCCTATAAAGAAAAGGAAAATGTGCACTTTCCAACGTGTCTTACGGCAGGCAAATTCATTGTTGTGAAATGTTGTGTCCAAACCTCAGCCCTGGGACTGTAGAAGGTTGGAAACTCAAAGCAAAAAAAGTAATAAAAGAATCATATGTATAACAACAGCAATTATCTAAGTAATCTAACTCTGGAACCCTTATTACAATGGACCTGGATTTCTTGGTAAGTATGACACATGTGTCCATAACTTTTCTGGCAGCTCTTTCTCTCCCCACAAAAGGTTCAGCTCTCAAATACTCCTGGGAAAACAATGAGAGATTCATGGCCCACTGAAATCAATAGAAATAGTAGTGTTGACTTCAGTGGGCTTTGATCAGGCCTTTGATGCTATAGCTGTTCATCCAGAAGTAATTAATCTGAACTTCCAAGACTTAAAAATTGCATGACACAGATATTGGAAATTCAGCTTGGAAGATTGTACTTTTTCTATTAGCTGATTAGTTTCGTAGATTAAATACAAAAATCAGGGAGAAAATGGATTTGAATCAAAACATATGTTTTTTTCAGAATGTTCATTTTGGGTTGCACCAAAGCTTTTAATTAAAGAAAATAAAACAAATTTTCTTTAAAATCCATTTAAGTGAAAAGAGGATATTCTGGTATCACCAAAAATGAAGTATTTTCTTTTTTATTTGTTGAAAGAGAACTTTGTTTTTAAAAAATGTTTCCCCATCTATTTTCAGTTATATTTCCACATTTGACCTACCTTGCGAATCATTTGGTTCATCACAAATACACAGTTCTTGGGTAAAAAGCAAATCAAAAAAATAGGCAACCACTTGAACTGATCATCTGGACACTGTACAGCTTTAGGAAAGGGATTCTGTCCTGCTGGGGAAGGAGGGATCCCCAACTTTCCAAATGAACCTGACTTCTCATTCTTTTTTAGGCCTCCACAACATGGTGACCTTTCCTCTGAAAGCCACAATCCATGGCCAACCAGGACATGCCTAGCTTGAAAGGTCATGACTAATTTTGCCTGGCGTTGGGCTCTTAAAGGGTAGTAATAAGGCAAAGCAAAACATCTTCCCTGTAGCTAGTAGAAATGATCAGCTCATTCATGCTTAGATGCTCTCCCTTTCATTTCTTCCAGGGAAGCAAGGAGAAACTGCTTCAAAGACCCATCTCCATTATCATCTGAATGCCTTGCAGAAAGTTTAAATTCCAACCTGGTATATTTCTCAGTTTCTATGATTGCATTTATGGTCAAAACAGTGATACGCTCAAGCTATTTATTGCATCTTCCTTACCTTTCTTACTAAAACCTATCTCCTGAACCAGATGTGTAGCTGTGAAAATCAGCATAGGTTCGCTGAAGATAAGCTCATTTTATACAGCTGAAGTTCTGATCCAAGGTATTTAGAAATTGTTCCTGCTGTGTGGCAAGGAATCTCCAGTCAAAGCATTTCATAGTTAATTTACAAAACATGCTTGATTTTGCTGTATTAATCTGGAAGGAAGTAGTGGATCAGTTTCTTAAAGAAAGAAGTGCTGAAACTACTTGATTCATTGCAATTGCTTTGTTTATAGCATTGTGGCCTGATCTAAAGTCCACTGAAACCAATGGGAGTCTTTTCAATTACTCCAATGGGCTCAGGTACATAATGCATTACTTTGTAGGACTTCAGAGGTAAGTCTGGAGGAACTAAGAACTACTGTACCGTCCAGCTCCCTCAAAGTGCCTTTTAAATCAACTCAGACTTGCTTACATTTACACACCAGGAAAGGAGCAAAACTGAATGTATAGGACTGTTGGGATCTTGACGCTCAGGTTTCCAACCTACAGAATTATGTAAGGCTACTTCTCCTTCTCTGGCTTTTACTTAATTAGAAAAAAAACATCAGTGTTAAATATTCTGGCCAGAGACGAAAACATTTTGATTGAAATGGAGCTGCAGTGGCTCATGAAGTGCCTTTTCTTTTCAGTAGACTGCGGTGCACTGTCATCTGCCATCTAAGTGAGGGAAGGTGGTGTGTTGCAGCGGTCGTAGCAGAGATGCTAGCCGTGCGGAAAGACTGGCATCGACTTACAGGGCTCCCTGTAAAGATTAGAGTGAAAATTTTTGCAGTGTTGCAGAGCAAGTACTTCTCGAACCAGTTTTATCTTTTTTATTAAAAAAAAAACCCAAACCACAAACTACTGTTGAGAGTTTTGAATGAAAACGAGGCCTAAGGAAGCTTTCTACCAGTCATTCATTGCTAGGAGTCTGATTCATGCACCATTACTTCATTAGAAGTTAGGACAAGCCCTGTAGGGAAGAGGCTTTCTGGAGTACCGGTACACACTGGCACCCGTTAGTCTACTGTGGTCACGGGGGTGCAGCTCCAGGATGTGTGTGGGCAGGGTTGCAGTAGCCCCCTGGGGTGGGTGGGCTGCACCCTGAGCACGTTGGACGTGGGCTCGGGGGTGCGTGTGCTCCGGTCCCCCATACGTTCCCCCAGACAAGGGAAGCACCCAGCCTCCCACCACCCTGGTCAAACAGTGTCCACGCCATCTCTGAAAAGACCACTCTGTATGAGTAGGTGTGGATGAATATGAACTGGAAAAAAACCAAACCAAACCAAAACCAAAAAACTACAGGCCAAGTCAGTTCCGTTCCTGGGAGGAGCGCTGCTTATCAGGGTGGTCTGGTTACTTTGGTAACAGTCGGTTACCTCAACCCACTGCTGGGGTGCTATGCTTGGTGCAGCATGGGCATGACCTTTTGTGGATGGGGAACCTATGCAACAAAGGTGGCCTTCAAAGAGGGGATGAAATACCCAGGTCTGATCACAAACCTGAATCAGGACTGCAAAGGCACACATGCACTGAAAATAGTTTATATTTTTATTTTTCAGTAAAGGAAGAACAAAAACCAGTCCCAACCAGTCCACACTATGGATTTCAAAGACGCCTAGGAAGGACAGTAGCATGGAGGTATAATGATTTACTGACTGAAAACAAAGCAAAAATAACATTTTCCAGTCAGGCTGTATTATAATGTCTTCAAAGAACATTAGCTTGGAATGGCTTGAAAACGCAAAGGATCTACAAGAATGAACTGTAAGCTCCCCCTTGAGGCAAATGTTCAGATCATTTTTATATAAAGTTTGATTATTAATTCAGTAACAAAATATGCCATGCTAAATAAAGGGTATGTGTTTATTTTGCTGAGAGATGTAAGTTAGCTAGTTGTAAGCAATGAAATGAGCAGAGCATTTGAAGTTTTTATGGGGAAATATCTACAATGTATATCAGTTTTAAGATTGTTTGTAGTTAAACAAACCCTCTTTGTTTCCTTTAGTCTCTCATGCATTGTAACGTAGTTGATGTACTGGAAATGGAACTGACAATTTTACAGTGTAACAATTATTTATCTTTGCATAAATGTTTGATACAAAATATTTGTTTAGTATTTATTTGCACACTTAACACAGTTTTTTATCATCAGGCACACAAATTATTTTATTACATATTAACATGGTTACTAGCAGAGATAGCCACCATGTTGTGACATTGACCTGATGTAGCACAATTCAAGGATTCATAAAAGTCATTTGATGTCATATAATGAATCCACTTTGCCAGGGAATGACCGTAACTTTTTGACATATTGGTCAACAAAAATCACTTGGCAAGTGATACCTCATTAATGAGGAGTCCTTTGAAGGCAGCCATTAGTTGTTATTCAAGTAAAATATTTTTTATTTTTTCTGAGGAAAAAAAAATAATATCACAAAGGGCAAGAGTTTAAGATTTTAAAATTACTTGTTTCAGTAAATCTATGTAAAAAAGACATTAAAGATAATTTAAATACAGCTTATAGTTTCTGAAGAATAATGTAAAGTTGGATCAAAAAGAAGACAAATGGCTTTTCTTGGAAGTGGAACTAATAGATTGATCCCAACATTACTCAGACTATTAGCTAGAAAAGCATTAATTATGTTAATTGATAGACAGATTTAGAGGTAAGCTTGATGCATTTAAAGTCTTCTTTTAGAGTTATTATTAACATCATTAATGTCCATTCTCTTTGGTTCCTTAAGAGCTTTCTGTGCCATGAGAATGATTTTATCAGTCATTAGGAGTAGATCTTGGGGCGGTAGTAATAGCACTCTGGCGGATTGTTGGTGGCAGTCTGGTGCTGTAGCAGATAGATAGGGGATTTTGCTGCAGTTGCAGCAAGAGTTCAAGAGCACAAATCCAAGCTAGTTGGCTTTCCGTTAGCACAGATGCAAAACTACTGCTGGGTGAAAGTTGGGGAGAGCTGGACAGAAGCAAAAGCATATTACTCTTTGCGTTGCCTACACTGTGCTAGCTGATGTTGACCACAGCTTTGAACTTCAGGGACAAACGTGTAGCAATTTTTCTGAGTAAAGGGGAAAAAAAAAAAACCCCAAACATTTCAAGTTCAATACCACTAGTGCTAATTGTGCAATGCTATTGCTGAAGCCCTTTTGGAAGCATCTTAAAGTTGCTGTTTTCCCATGTTTTTACTTCTCTATGAAGAAGCCATCTTCTGTACTTCAGGTTAAGTATTGCTATTCCTACTTAGAATATTCTGTAGTTTTCCCAGTCAGTCACAACTTCTTTCTTTGCTCAGTCCCTTACTTCAATTTCCTTTGTAGTGATTGTAAATAGAGAGAAAGTATGATCCTGCATGATCACCAAGACCAGAATTGTTTTTCTCCTAACTTAAGTATTGCTTAACTCAACTGATGAAAAGAGATTCCTCTTTCTTGGGAACAGTTGCAGTAAAAATTTTATTTTATTTTTTTTTTTTTTTTTATGGTCTTGAAGGATTAACTCCCCAAGGAAAATAGGGAAGGAGGGAGAGTGAAGCTTTACATAAAAATATTTCTTGATACTTTGTGCTTCCAAAGAACATGTAAACGTGTAGCAACTGATACTCTGATTAATGCAGCAGCATTGATAGAAGTCATTTCCATGCAGCAATTAGGAGAATGCAAATACCTTCGGATGTCTTTCTTACAGGGTGAAGGTGATTGCTGGGCAGTTGTCAGCATGGACCAGTCTTAAACTCTGTGTGAAGGAAGAATGGAAAGTGGCATGCAATGCTTTTATTATACTGAACTCAGATTCTATATTGATTATTGAAATATTGATTATTGGGACAAAATATTTCAGTATCGTATCACCTGCTTAGGGGAAGGAAATAGTTTCCTTCGATGTATTTCCGTTGCTTAGGATGTTGTTCCTAGACACCAGGTAAAATCTAAACAATCTTAAGAATCCTGTGTAGAAGACTGCAAGCAGTGTACAAATCAAACTTACAGTCTTATGACTTCCACTGTTAAGTAGGTGATTCTATTCCATGTAAAACATACAAATCCCACAGATACACAAATTTTTTCATTTTTATTTCCCTTATTTCCACACACAAAAGAGAGATAGCAGTAAGGGTAGAGGAGGAAAGATAGGCATGTTTCACACTTGCAGAGAGAATACCTAGAAATTAGACTATGCTAGTATTTCCTTTGGATTTTGTTGGGACTGCCAGAAAAACAGGTATTTACGTGACATGATCCATTAGTGGCAACAGAACTGCTATTTAAATACAAAACAAAACAAAAAACCCCAACCCTCTTTGTCCTTCATATTCACATTAAATTCTACAGAATGGAGAAAGGAAAATGATTTCCAATTTTAGGTGACAGATTTCAGATTTCACTTTGAATAAGCTTGTTGGCCTTCATGTACGGCTGTGGGGTCCCCTTGCAGTGACCACATTCTCTTCTGCTCACTGACTCTCTAAATCTTTTCCAAATGGCAGCAGTAGGTGAGGCAAGGAACTAAAGGATGAATAATGGATTTAAACTAAAGAAGAACAGATTTAGACTAGACATAAGAAAGAAATTTTTTACGATGAGGGTGGTGAGGCACTGGCACAGGTTGCCCAGAGAGGCAGTGGAGGCCCCATCCCTGGCAACATTCCAGGTCAGGTTGGACGGGGCTCTGAGCACCCTGATCTGGTTAAAGCTGTCCCTGCTCACTGCTCAGTTCAGGGGGGTTGGGCTGGATGGCCTCTAAAGGTCCCTTCCAACCCAAAGCATTCTGTGATTCTATGAACAGTAAACCTTAGCTAGTCCTCAGATGGATGGCATGGCTTCAGTTTGGCATTTTAAAAACATTATACTCCCACAACCCCTATTTTCCCCAGGGAATATGATTTTTCTGTTTTTCCATAGTGATCTTAGCGTTTTGCAAGGAAGAAGCATCTGAGAGAGAAAGCTCGTTTCCTTCTTTAATCTTTTAAACTTCTTTTGGGTGCAAGCAAGTGGAAGTCAGCATAAAGCTTCCACTGCCCATTTCAAAGCATCTTAGACCTGTGACTCAACTGAAAATAATGCATTCTGTCCACGTTTTAACACAGTAACGACTGGTTTCTCCACACGTTAATATGCAGGCAAATGAAGTAATGGATGCTGAATGAAGGCTAGAATGTAGTCGACTAAGGTTATGTTAGTTTTACCTAGACATAAATTAGTTGAAATAAAATATTTCTTTTCTATTATACTAGTCTATATTACATATATGTTTCTATGCCAGAGTTTATAATAGGAAATTTTTTAGTCTGAGGGGATTTTTTATTTATGTATACCTCAAAATACATCTACGCTTTGCATTTTGGGAAGCAAAAAGTACACATAAATAGAAGTATATTACTGGATTTCTGGGAAGCACATTTTCTAGTAACTGGATCTTCTTTGAGTTGGCTCTGGTATTTTATCAACAGACTGAAACACCATTTACAATAGTGATGTATGGTAAATAATGCAGAAGTCATGTCACATTTTAATTAAGCACTTTAACATAATTGATTCATCTGAATCAATTTATACTGATAGAAGAATGCACTTTATTTTCAGTGGCTGTTTGTTTTCAAGTGAAGGAGAGTAACAGGAGAAACAGTAGTCCACTATGGAAGATAGGATTTGCAACTTCAGCATTTTAATGTTAAAACCTGTGTGGTTTATATGAAAGAAGGTGTCTAAACCACCTTTTATCTTCTCTCTGACTTAATTACATGGGGCTGTGTTCCTTGTGGTCACAGATGTATTGATAAAGCTAAATATTTTGGTCTGGACCTAGTCCTCTAATGCTTATGAAGACCTGAAAACAGTTTGGGACTTGATTTTTTTTATCAAGCTAGCCTTGTATTTTGAGCACTTCATATCTGCATTTAGCATTGTAAGCACCAAGTGTGGGAGCTCCTTACAAAAATCATACGTCTATGTGTATATGTGTAGATAGTCATACACAGTAAGGTAGAATGCATTTTGTATTTTCATGCAGTACTTTGGAATTAAAAATATGTTAAATTCCTACACTAGGCTGAAAACAGAAATAAAGGAAATGCATCCTATTACACTAACATTAAGACACCATTAAATTTAAGACATTTCAACAAGTAGCTAATTATATTTTAATATAAACCTATTTAGAAAAGAGCTCAAGAAGATGAAAACCCCTTTTTTCTTCATATTTTTTCCCCTTTGGAATGCTGTAATGGGCTATCACGATAGTTTTTATACAAAGCACAAAATCAGTATTAAAAGTCACCAGTACAGAAAAAGCATGTAATATATCAAAGGAACCCTACTATTTTTTATTCACTAGGAATAGCTGATACTCGTTATTGTCAGAGGTTTTTAAAAAAACATTACTTTTTATGAGAGAAGGTTGCAGTATTGTGAGTCTGTGCTTAGGTGTATACAAGCACATATCTATAATTGCTTGAATAATTGCCAAAACACTTGCCTAAAAAGAAAACTAAAAAGCTGTATTTAAACCTTATTTAACTCTATTAATTCCAAATGAATTACTCAAGACAGAACTTTTGGCTTACATTCAGTTTATTCATTAGAAAGCAGCATGATACACGATCAGCCTTTATGCACAATTCATAAACCTCATTCCAGAGCTTTTTGTAATAGAGAAGACAGAAGAACTCCCATGAGCCCAGTTTAAACAGATAACACATACCTTCATTTTGACGTGGAGAGATCACTGAGAGGAGTTGACTATGCATTGAAATGAAAATGCATGTTGAAAAATACACGGTAAAAACATAAGAACAGGTAATGTTTGGCCTGAAAGTAATAGTTTAGACCATTTTTCAATAATGCATTTGCAGTTTGCAAACTTTTTTTTTTTTTTTTTTTTCCCCCCCTGCCCATGCTTTGCAAAGCCCTCCACTGTGCATTTAATGCACTGGTGTTCAAAGAAACTGTTTCCCCATGGTCTCACAGAAAAAGTAAAATGATAAAACTACTCATTAACAAAACCACAGCATCTGTTCTAAAATATTGCTCTCAACTGGTAATGGAGTTCTCAATTATTAATATTTTCCTCCCCAAAATTTAAATATTTATTCAGTTTCTCTAATGGTGAGATGGGAATGCCAGTCTTGTTTACATCATTATACAATGGCTTACCTTCAACCTTTAAATTCTATTTCTATCACTAAAAAACATCAAACTAATAGATGATTTTTTTGATCCAGTCCACAAACATGGTGACTCGAACGTACACTCCTGGTCGTTTGGGAAGTGCACACTCATAGCCAAATGATGTTACACCAACCAAAACCCACTTGTTGCTGTCTTCAAATGTCAGAGGGCCACCTGAATCTCCCTGCAATACAAAATCCAAAGTTAAAAGTGAAGAGTGTCAACTCCGAAGCAGAGCCTGTTTATAATGTTTTGTTCGTGTTGATCCTTAATCGTAGACATTGTATCGCTATATGTCTTGCGCATCAGAAGTGAGATCAATATGAAGTCTTCCATGTGGAGAAATTCTTGAGATAATCAATTTCCTTTTTTTCTTTTTTTTTGTTAAAGATGTGATCGTAAGCTTTTATCAGTCTTTCAATACAGGACCGGGTTTCAAATTATTTTTTTTTGCTTGTTACTTTTATGTTTAGCCCTTCATCTTTCACAAAGCCTGGGTAAATGTAGAGGATTATTTTTTACTGGAACCTATTCAGCCAAAATGCAGTTCTGTTTTTGGTCACCCTAGTGTTTCTGCAATTTCAAATTTAGAGAAAAACATGGCAAGACTGCCAGAAGAGGAGGTGTCCTTTTATCACACCTCCTTCTCAATAGTTTAGCAGATGTAGCATTGCAATAGAGTGTGGGAGACCAAATTTGATTCATCCCACAGCCTGAGCGGGGGATGAGTCAGCCATGAGCGTCTTGGTTTGACGAGAAAGAAAACAATGACTATTTTTCGTTGTTTATTGAGTTAGTTGAACCAGTATTATTTTTGTCTTCTCATGGCCCTGTGAATGGAGCTTTACGGGAGAGTTCTGCAAGGACTTGGCCATTAAAATACTTCTGCCCATAACTCCAGGGCATCTGCAAAAGTTCAAATGGCTGTGACAGCAGCCTAAAGGCTGAAGCACTATCAGGACTCACTTGTTCATCTTTGCTCATGGTTGAATGGTCATTGATCACAACGCTGGTCACTTGCACTCTATATCAGCCTGCACTGCTACACTGCTTTTTTTCATTATGAAGTTCAGAAGGCAAAAAGGAAAGAGGAAAGCCACGGAGGCTGAAGGAATGGCAAGTGAAATTAGACTTGCATACACTCCTCCTTCTAGATTAAACTAGCTAAAGTCACTGCATCTGATGAAGGCTTAGGTTGTGCGAGTGAGGCAAGACCAATTATGTGAGAGTGCTCCTCATCAGCCTTGAGGAGAACCAGCCAGTTTCCATGCCATAGACTATATTGCAGGAAGAAAAATTATGTGACAGCCAACTCTGACTACATCCTCAAAGAGAAGCAGTGTGTTATAAGCAGAGCTGGAAAGGACAAAAACTAGATCCCCAGGAAGCAGCATATGAGATCAATGCAGAAAGGCAGGCTCTTCAAAATACTGTGGCATTCACTTAGAAAAAGTCTCCAAAGTCTACAGATTCTGAGGGAAAGCATCATTGCTCTCTCTTTTTCTCTGCATAAAGCATTTCTGAGACTTCAATCTATTTCATATTTATTTCTCTGCACTCTGCTTTTCCCTAAACATGTCCCTCTTCCCTTCATGGAATTATTCAGCAGTAATTATTCAAAGTTCAGTGCAGAAAATTTCCAGTCATCATATTTATCTCCCTCCATGGTTGTTTATATCAAGATGATACAAAGTGGATTTTTATCTTTTCAACTTGTATCTTGATAAAGTATTAAATGGGCAAAATACTGTGAGTAGAAATTACATTCATGGACATTCATTGTCCTGTTTTAATGACTGGAGGATCAGGGAGCATTTTATTCAGTAATTAGATGTGGTGTATGCTAGCAGTAGAAATGAGTCACTTGTATTTACCTGACAGGAATCTACTCCTCCTATGTCATATCCCGCACAGATCATGTTCTCTGTAATACTATATTCTGGCATCTGTTGTTGGCATTTTTCATTTGAAATGAGAGGGACCTCTGCTTCTTGCAATATATCTGAAGTGGGACCTGATGAGAATACAAAGTACATTTACCCACTGTAATAAATATGTACATCCTGCTCAGAACACCGATGGTTTTGGTCCTGTTCCAGCATGCTGGGCACACTACCAAGCAGCAGGAAGCCCTGCCTCACCGCTGTATTATTCAGGCTTATACCCCTGTAATGCAGTCACTGATTAAACAGTGCTCATTAACTGAATCCTGTCTTTCATTTGTGTAATGGGACTGAATTTGGTTATAATTAAATCAAGATTACTAAAATCAATGACTATGAACTCACTGTGGGGAGATCTAAGGGATAATTAAGGGCTTAGGAGCTTGGATTGTCCAGTGTTTCCTCACTATTCATTGTGTAACTTTGAGTATTTCAAGTTTTTATAAAAAATTTATTACTAATTCCTACCCAATTTTATTCTGAAAATGTAGAAGCAAATGTGTTCAAGGAACTGTGGAAGTGAAATTGCATGCTTATTATTTCACGGAGACTCCAAAACTGGAGCATATGTTATACAAACAGAACATACAGTTCACACTATAGTCAGTTTTCTTGACTTCTGGGGAAAATCATTTGCACATCATCAGAAAGACTAATCTTCCTCCTCCCCCGCCCAATATCTGGAAATAAGATGTACATATTTCATATTGAGAAAAGTAGTCATCATCACTTCTAAGGGGATGCAATAAGGTTTTTTCATAATTTAATTGTATATTTTTTTCCTAATAAATATGTTGTAACTCTATTACTTTGCTTTAGAGAAGGAACAGTAGTGGGGGATAGTTCCCAAATTTTCATATGGAGGAGTACGTCTGTAAACTATTCAACCTTTGCAACCCCTTTGGAATCAGGAGGAAGCTTGCTCTCACGGCTTCATGCTTGTCATAATTTTCCAAGCAGATGACCCACCTTCGTTCATAATGCTACCCCAGCCAGCAATGGAGCAGTTAATTCCTGGTAAAAACCGCTGATTTTTTTCTGGTAAGCAGATAGGTTGTATGTAATCTGTGAATGAGATACAAGCAATCAGTTTCAACCTCTTCCCTGTATTCAGGTTTTTATGAAGTCACGTAAGAAAATATTCATTAATTCAAACCCACTTTTTGGGGAAGGTATCCAGGAAGTACTGGACTGACTCCAGAACGATTAGGTTGTAAAAAATGTACATCCACCCCATCACCCTCATATGCTTAGCACAGTTAAGAGTTTTGAATAACAGAGTAAATCTGGTTTATGGGAAAATAACAACTCACCTGTATATTGCACTTTGTATTGAAGGTGCATGAGAGCAATATCACTATCTTTTGTACGCTTCATGTAATGAGGATTTATAACTATTTGATCGATGTTTTGAACTACTGTTGAAGGTTGTGTCATATCCGATTGGTCATACAAGCCAAGAACTGCTTTCCATTGAGATGGTTTTAATTGCCTCCTAGAAGTTGCAAGGAGTATTCGCAATTATGAATGATTAATGTAAGTTTTGAAAAATATGTTAGGTAAAATGCTAATCTTTAATCTAATGGTAATTCATAGCATTTGCACATTTTGTCAAAATAAATAGAATGTAGCAGATGTGCTTCCAATTTTGTGATAGTAATACTATCTTAAACATCCACACTGTAGAACAAGTAGTTGATTTTTTATGTTAAGCTTGTAATGCATTATTTATGAAGAATTAATCAGACAGTAGTGCAGAGGAGGAAAATACATTAACTAAATTACCATGGCTTTTTAAACACTGTGAAGAATACTGCTTACTGCCCACCAGGCAATTAATATAGGTCCCAGTTAGAAAATTATTACGGAATATCTAAATAATAATAGGTCTAAAATGTCATTGGAAATGCTGCAGCTCATAGACTCGGAAAACTGGTCTCTTAATTTTTTAATCTAAATTGAAAAAGATATGCTAAGACAAAATATGACATAATCTGCATTTTTTGCTGAGCTACACATGCTGGATTGAGGCTGTATTTAAGTAAAGAACTTAATTATTTGCTGTTTTTTAATCAACCAGTTCATAGTTTCAAAAATATGTTTTCAGCCTGATTGCTGTACCGAATTGGTTTCTGCAGATCTTTTGGTTTAACATCAACAGGTTTTCTTGTTCTAAACTAGGAGTGTTTAAGTTAAATGTTCAGAATTAAGGTGTGAAACTGCAAGCTCACATTTAGGAAAATTCCAGCAAAGTCAAGATGATAAAATAAGATTTAAGTGAAAATAGAAAGGTGATTTAAGTAAAAAGGAAGTACAAAGACAGCTGTGGATTTATTGTGTGAAAACTAAGAGAGCTTGATCCTTCTCATTTCAGTGACTTTGTGTGGAACATAGCTCCTGTCATGCAATGAGGCAGCATTAATGTGTTGGCAAAGGTTCCACTGCCTTACTACTTTGCTATTTATAATGAAAGCTCTACTGTAATTTTGAATATTAATGTTTCATTTTTTGCCATTCCAGTTTCTAGTTGTCTCCTACAGCACTAGTTTTTATTATAGACGCTATGGAAGCAAACCCTAGAAAATATTTAAATATGCATCACTTCTTTGTGTGGTACAAATAACACCATCCAATAATATGGAGGATATCCAATATTGCCTAATCAATGCACATAAATCAAGACTCATTCCAATGATGCACAGTAAATCTTGATCAATCTATGATAATATACAGGAGAAACAGGCAACACTGAATTTACCTCTATGAGGTATGATGTCATCCTTCGTACCACTGGCAGAGATGCAATTAATGGGGGACAACATTAATTATGGGTTAAGTGCGAATGCTCAGTATGAATACCACATATTTAAAGTGCAATTCTTGTTCAGAAAATGCTGCTTAGTTTCCATGATTCTCTGCTTTAAAGTAAGGACTGAGGGTTTACCAGAAAGTAAAGGAGCCTTTAGCTGAATCCACAAGTGATTCAAAACACAGTAATTAAACAGTGAGCTAGTTGTTAATTTTTTTGTATCAGTGTCACAAATTATTCATAATCTGATGCTTCCTTAGTGAACCTGCTCATAAAATAAGTGTTTCATCATCATTAAAATCAAAAAGAAAAGACATGGCGTGGATGTCATATGGCCATCTCAGCTAGTTGGAAAGATGCCCTGGAGTCAGTGGAGAGAAAGAGGCACTCGTGAATTTATATATATGTCATTCTGAAGTAAACATCCAGAAACCCTCTAAAAAGTGCTGCTCTCCAGTGATTTCAGTATGATCCTTTTAAAGTGTGTTTTGCTCTCTACAGATTGATCCATGGCTCAGGTCATACTTCAGTGCAGCTTTACTGATGACTATCCACCATTTGGATACTTGCATGTTGTGGCAGTATCAGAATGTGTTAGCTTATGAGTGCAATGAACATTACCCATATACACAGTGTGCTGCTGTCACCAGCCATTCATCACTGACGAGGGAAGCTCCACAAACAGGTCTGGTATTAAAACTGAGTGACACTATCCAAGGCCAAGCCTCTCTTCTGGCATCACTTCCGCCTACAATCCTTGTTCCATTGTTCTGAGTTACCAGGTGTTTTCCACAAGCTAAAATTAATAAAAAAGAAGAAAAATTTAAAAATAAATATTTGTATATTTTTAGGGGGATATAGCATGTTTTATTGGACTTGCTAATATTCTTGGAAAAATAGACTTTATAATATCTGAACTGCTATTAAAAATACTATTACTGTGGAAAAAAGTTTGGTGTTTTATAGCTGAAATCAAGATGCCACTTTATAACTTGGATTTAGATGTGTTCTTTCCTCATACCTTCTGGATTTTTTTAAATACATGTTTTCAGTATAGACCCATCTCTAGTGTATACTTAACTCTGAAAACAAGTGAAGACTGTAAATTTTCCTGTGTTTATATCATTATGAGTATAGCTTTTATAGTCCGTTCCCTAGCCTTTCAATTCAAACTATAAACATTAGGCTTTATAGATTGAACAATTTGATGTCTGTGTGAAATATTCCCAGTGTATGTGTACTTACGCTTAATGTTACACTGCAGATGAACCACCAGGTTGTTCAAACAGTGTTCTCTAGAATGAAAGTGCAATTAAATCACAAGTATCTGCACACCAGGTAACACTAAATGACTGTGAAATATACATACATACACATATATATAAAAAAATGTATATAAGCATATATATAAGTACATTAGTTTATCAGTATCATTGTTAAATATAATATTTTTCCTATATGTTT